TAAACATACGTCAGCAGGTGAGTTCGAGATTGAACGCACCTCCTCGTGCCAGCATGACAGCCGCTAATACGCCAAGCCAGTGATAAGAAGTTTAGCTGACTGTGTGAAACTTCACAGCAATCTTTCACGTTGCCCCGAAGTCTATATAGCGACGCGTGCTCGCAGTCACAACCCAGCGGGCAAAATGACGTTTATCCAACGTTGGAAATGACCTTCCGGACGCTGGATAGACGTTGAAAAAGGGTTGACTATGCAAATTGGATCGACGTTACTGTTTCGACGTTGAAACAACGTTGGAAATGACCTTCCGGACGCTGGATAGACGTTGAAAAAGGGTTGACTATGCAAATTGGATCGACGTTACTGTTTCGACGTTGAATCAACGTTGGAAATGACCTTCCGGACGCTGGATAGACGTTGAAAAAGGGTTGACTATGCAAATTGGATCGACGTTACTGTTTCGACGTTGAAACAACGTTGAAATTAGGTTGCCAATCTCGTCAACCATAATTCAACGTTGAATCCACGTTAAAACAACGCCGAGATTGGTTCACAAATCGACGTCGTACATTTAACCATGAATGAACGTTAATTCAACGTCTGTTGGCTGCTGTTGAACCAATGTTTGTAAAACAACGTCAGAGCAACGTAGATATTAGGTTGTTGACGTCGCAACCTTTTTTCTACCAAATTTCAACGTTCAAACAACGTCGTGTGCCCGGTGGGAACGCTGTTAAGAATTCTGGCTTCTGGGACTGTAACCTCCTGTGATTTAATAATAAGACAAAAATCAGAATAAAACGCCAATATTTAGTAAATAATTTATTTTTGTAACTTTTAGGCATCAATGACAGTAAAATTATAAGATAAGTGAATAAAGTTCAAGCATCGTTATTTAGATTGAAGGGCTGCATTTGAAGTGTTGGAAATTTGTATCAGCGTCTACCAATGTTGGTTCTTCTTCACGGAACCCGTAGCAGTTGCATCTTAGAGATTTTTTCGTTCCGCTACCCCTAAAGAACACCGCATGCACATCAAACGACATGCATCCATCCCATTCTCCTTCATTTCCCTGGCACAATGTTCTGCACTCACTGTAACAATCGCTCCACGATGGCAACACCGCGTGATCAAAAACTTTCTCTTCGCTGACCATTTCTGTTCCAGACTCGCCTCTCTTGTTTTTCACCGCTCTTCCCACACAACGTACTGCTGAACAAGACTTGATCAGGTACAACGCCAAGAAACACAAATAAATTGCAACTTTCATGGTGAGATATCTGTTTAACAAGAAAAAAAGATGGTCGAAAGACATTCGCGAATCAGTGAAGACATTAGAGCACAGAATATTCCGCATTCAATACATTTAATTCATCACACGATGATCACACATACCTTTTGATATAGAATATATCTACTTCTTTCTCTTGTTCAGTTGCGTTGTCTTTCAGTACACTTGATACATGAACTCAGTAACAAATCAGGAAGCGCTTTTTATAATGTTCAAAACAGGTGCTATATTGTGTAGGTGCCGCTCAGTCTTAAATGTTAGCACATTAAGGTTAATTACTGAGATCATCAGTTTGAAAGCAAACCCTGCACAAACATTTCATTTCGGTTCTTTTTTTAGTTAAATTGCGGATCCATCATCCTACATACAAACTGCTGTATACAATATAAACCTGTTAGAGAACTACTCGATGCACGTCTTTAAGAATATACTTGTACTCTTGCGTTTTACAGAGCAGCGGTAAAACTTTTTTATCCTGATGACTTGAGGAGAACAATTAGCAGAATAACATGGTGGTCGTATTTCATTACCAGGTTTCTCATTCACACCTTATTCACACATAACGATATTTAATCCTTAATAGTTTTACCGACAAATTATATCATTAAATTTTCTTTTCAAAATCGACTTTATTTATATTGGAATACAAGAAATATAAAATACTGCCCATTTAAAAACTCTTGAGGGAAACGAATTTTCCACAATGACTTAATCGGTATATCAGTGATTCTTCATCCGTTCAGGCTATTGTGATGTGCTTCTTTTCACCGCTTTTGTCATCCAAGATTGGTTTGGTTTTTCTACATTTTTTATAATCTTTGACTTTGTACACGTCATACGAGAATCGTGAGTCGTGACTTATATATATTGTTCTCCGTTTGTTTCGTTATGGACCAAGGACCAGCATAAGGAAAATATTTATTTCTCAACTCACATTCCCTAATGCTCGCTTGCTAGTAAAACTACACGTTTTTAATACATCAATAAGTTAATAACTGAAAATTGTAAATGAAATATACATACATGTATATATATTTCAACACTGGGCACAACAAGAACTTTTAGATCATCTAAAAGCGAATGTTACAAACTACGTTAATCCGTGTCTGTGTGTTAATTTATAAGATCTTATAACATGCATCCGACCAAAGCAGTGTCCTAGCAACAATATTTTACTCTGAAAATTTATACATTTTCGTATTCGTTAAACCCGGCTTTTTCTTTTTAAAGAAAATTTAATGATATAATTTGTCGGTAAAACCGATTAAATTAAATATCGTTATGTGCGAATAAGGTGTGAATGAGAAACCTGGTAATTGAAATACGACCACCATGTTATCCTGCTAATTGTTCTCCTCAAGTCATCAGGATAAAAAAGTTTTACCGCTGCTCTGTAAAACGCCAGAGTACAAATGTATTCTTAATAATTAAAAAGTGCATCGAGTAGTTTAACTAAAAAAAGAACCGAAATGAAATGTTTGTGCGGTTGGCTTTCAAACTGATGATCTCATTTAGCCTAC